AAATTAGATAAGTGTTTTTTTGGATGAACCATAATTTTTTACTTTTATTCATTGCATGTCATCATAGTGATTTATAGGTACTGTGTATTTAAATAACCTATCTTTATTTTATTCTGAAAAGTGATCTATTACAAATTGGAGAGTAATTATCATCCTTTTAAGACCTTAGAAGTTCATTTTGATGGAGTAACCATAATAACCTGTTTCAGATTTGCAAAGACCATAATCCAATTCTGTCTAACAAATAAGGAGGCTCTGATTCAACATCTTTGGCAGTTATTGAACGTTATCAAAATCAAATATAATACATGTTGTGCTTTATGATAATTTTGTTCCAATAAATAAAACAAATTAAAAACTAGAGACTGTCTACAAAATGAGTCATTTCTCTCGACCCCTGTTACAAAATGCCCACATTTTCAGCAGAAGTGAAAACAATGTAAAGGCTGGTACAACACACGGTTGGTCTCTAAAGATTATTACCAATTTTAAGACAACTTTATGGGGCTGAAACTTTCTATAACTCAACAATTTAAATGATATTAAGGCTTAAAGCTATGTATAATTTACAGGATGCTAACCGCTATTCGACGTTCCAATTCTGCAATCTTTTGGATTAGCTCAGAGTTATTTGTTGTCACAACCTACATTGAGCTCACATAAACTCATTAGAATCCTATGGGGACGTTACCCAGACGATGTCCTTATTTCATACAGTGTATGGGCTTTAGAAGCACAGTTATATAACGTATGCAAAATAGCTTAGTTAGTAGCTTTTAATGGATGGTTGAGTCTGCAGAGTGTTTAATTTTTACACAGGAGACAGAGCCAGCTGTCACAAAGATTATTTCCAAATGCCTAAACATGACCAGGCTAGGGTTAGGGTTATCATCATCGGTCTGAAAAGCCTTATTTTAATGGTTAGAGGTTCTTGTTTAGATTTGTTTTGAGAATGTGTTGGTTTCAACTTCAGATGTGATGAAAATACCCTTGTTGATCTTAAATGAGAAGAGCAGTTTTCTTCAACTGCAGTTGAATTGACCTTATATCTTACTGGGATGGCCCACCAAAGTATTTAACTGCTCTGCAGAGCCATTATTGGTTGGTTTAGCTCTTGGATTTGTTTTCCTTGTCATTAAAAGTAGTCTTAATCCTTCCATGTTATTGTTCATTTTAATCAAACATAAATTGGTCAATTTTCAGAAGAGGTGGGAACTAACTAAGTAGATGTACTCAAGTACTGGAATTAAGTACAATTTTGAGATACTTGACTTTACTTGAGAATTTCCATTTTATACTTTGTACTTTTACCACACTACTATTCAGAGGTAAATGGTGTACTTTTACTCCACTACATGTATCTAATACCTTTAGTTACTTTACAGATTTTGTTTAATGATATGAAATATAATCAAGTGTTAAATCAGACTTTAGTTCCACCTGGAGTAAATTCACAAGCTACCCTGCAGTATACAAAGTCATTCAAACTAGCTGCACCTTTACCAGCTTTGAGAACACTTTCATGATCAATCATTATAAAACATATATTATATATTATTCTGAAATGGAACAATCTGCATAACGACTTCTTCTACTTTTGGTACTTTTTGTAAATTTCGATGCTAATACTTTTGTTCTTTTACTTGAGTTACATTTTGAATGCAGGACTTTTACTTGTAACAGAGTATTCCTACACTCTGGTACTTTTACTTTTACTAAAGTACATGATCCGAGTACTGGATTCTCCATTGTTAAATTGTGAGTTGTAGTGGTAAAGGATGTTTGACTTTTACCCCTCTGATATCAAGCAGCCTCAATAGTTGGAGTTGAACTTGAAATATCAGCAGAGCCTGAGGACGAGGTAACACATTCCACAGTTGATCTTTTATCATCCTTTCCTCAGCTCCAGGATTGTCCTTATGCTGTCACAAAATCCATATCCGTGTGCCCTCCACACTCAAAGTAATAAATCCATAGTGTAGGAAGATTAATATCTCACAAGGAATGTTGTATAATATTTTATATAGGGTACCAGGGGCCCTATAAGAGTCTTGTGGATCCCACAGTTCACGACATCTCCACTTCTGTACACCCGCTTTTAACCACTCCAGCAATATCTGCTGTAAACTAACAAATCCTCAGCTCTCAGGGACTTTCCTGTTTACATCTCTATTCCCAGCACAAAAGGATTACAAACAGCAGCTTTACTGAGTATAAAGACATTGTTAAATCCATGATGTGCAGAGTGGGAAGGTTAGGTTCACTCATTCAGTCATGAGTTTGCATCTACAACGTGACAAGAGGTCAAACGTTAAGAATCACTGGACCCTAGCTGAACAGGGTTAGAGCAACATAATGACTGTGTGTGTGTGTGTGTGTGTGTGTGTGTGTGTGTGTGTGTGTGTGTGTGAGTGTGAGTGTGAGTGTGAGTGTGAGTGTGAGTGTGAGTGTGAGTGTGAGTGTGAGTGTGAGTGTGAGTGTGAGTGTGCGTGTGAGTGTGAGTGTGAGTGTGCGTGTGTGTGTATCCTCCAGCATATTTCCGTCTGTATTAAACTGGATTAGTTGTCTGCCCTGTATCTTTTTTTTGCAGATAATACTTGAAGCTTGCCGGGATTTCATTCAATAGATCTATGTGACTCTCTCTAATCTTATTGGTGTGTGTGACCGTGTGTGTGAGCTCCCAGAAAACAGCGTAATGGCAAAGATCAAAGGGATCCGAATGGTTGTGAGCCTTATTTGGATGTAATTGCTGTTTACTTCGTCACATTATACAGTGGAGGTGCCTTATTAAGACTTTCTGCCTGTCATTGAAGATGCACTCGAGCAGCCTTAAGGGGATACGACTCTATCTCAGGCTTTATCAAGGACATTTTATTCCTAATAGGAGTTTTCAAAGGACTGCTTGTTTACCACAACTAAGTAAAGGTTGATGTGTATTATTGAGATTAATAGCTCTCCAGAACACTGTTTTGGCTTCAAAATGGCAATTCATTTCAATATTAAGAGGAGGGATTGCAACATTTCGGCCTAATCTCGGTTTGGCTCCCTTAACAGGTTAAGAAGCCCTTTTTTACATGTTTGTGCCTAATACTCATTTAGGTTTAAATACCTTCAAAGCGACAACACAATGGGGGAAAGGTATTTTGGTGGTTTTATGACTCTGTGTCAGAATCGTAAGCGGAGAAGATGTTTTGTAGTGCCAAACATTTAGTGAAGGCCATGGAAACATGTTGTAACCAACATGTCTAAAACAATGTTCTTACCTAATGTCAACAGGTACCGTGTGGTAAACAAGACTATTGTGGATTACTTTCGTAGTAAGGGATCAATCAAGTCATCGTTAAACAAAACTTTGGAGTAATCATCTTAATCCATCCGTCCATCCCGACCCCGGATGGCTGAACCTTAATCCCACTATAGAATATTTTTTGATTGGTGTTAAGAGAGATCATTTCAAGTATTTAGCACATATAGGATTTTTAGTTAGAATAATACAGAAACTAGAGCAAGGAGCTAAGGAGCACAATGTTAGTATGAATAGCTTAGTTTGTATCTTTATGATTGATGAAAGGTAAAGTCAAAAAGTGGCATTTAAGTGAAAAAGACCTTTACAGTATATTCTATCCTTACCTGTAACACCATTTTAATGCATATTGCTGCATTAGTAATACAAAATACATGATTCACATTTCACTGCAGGAAAAAAGGAAATCTCAAGGTTGACTTTTCCAGAGCTTTCAACCTCATCCTGTGGGCTTCAGCTGTTGGGTGGTACTGGGCAAATGCTATCTACTAATAAGGGTCCCAACATTTTCAGCACATTTTATTCCTTATATTTCGATGTATCATTTTAAAGTATTATTTGGCATGCAGGATTTTGATTGGTTTTGTATATTTACACTTTTGATCTTTACTGTGATTGGATTGGAAGGGGGAAAACCAAAAAGCTTTAGGTTATCATCAAATCATCTATTTGACATGTAACTAGGGTTAGGGTTCCTAGGGTGCTATCTTCAACTTCCTCTTGACTCCCGTGCATTAATCACAGAAACTCTGGTTCTGTGATTAATAGATATAATATTTCTGCCTCCTGAGCAGTTCAGTTTCCCTAAGATGCCTTTAAAAGTTAAATGACAATCTGCTGCATGAGAGGACCTCAACATTTAAACATAAATGATTGACACAAGCCACATGAGCAGTTTGTCTTAATGACCAACCAATAGAAACTGAGTATCTTTAATCTTTATGTTTTGCTTGTGTGTTCTCCAAAAAAGAATCAAAACAGAGAGCCCAGATGACCACTTTAAACCATAATGACAGTAATGTCACTTGAAAATGTTGGCTTATTATGGCCAAGTCTGTGAAGTCTGCTAGCCAGGCCAGCATTTTATATAGCTACAAAACAAGTCATTTGGCTACCTAGAAGTTGAGTTTTGAATCTAACAGTTAGCTCACATCCTGTACTACTCCATTTTTTTTTAGATGTGTTCTCTGAGTTCATTTTAGACCCATCTTGAATACGTTTGTCGGTTTGACGCCCAAAACATGAACAAGTCTTCAGTGTTAGTATAGTTGCAAGTCAGTTAGCCAGTCTTTTGAACATGATCTTAGTTTATACGACATGGTTTAAAAGAAAAGAAACATGCAAAAATGTGTTAAAACTGGCTAAAGGGTTAATAGTTAATTGATCTGTTGGTGGGATGCAACATAGAAAAGGAAACGTAAAAGGAAACAGCAAATCCAAGCAGAGAATCTATGTTACGGTATTAATATCAAAGGATGGTGGTAAACATGTAAACTTTAGACATCAAGCTGAAAAGGACAAAACACATCCAGCCCAAAAAGAGTTTACGAGTAAAGAGCAAAAAGAAAATGTCCATCACTTTCAAAAAAAGGACAAGAAATGTAAGAAAATCAAAGAAGATAAAAATTTGAGGAGAAAGGGTAAGTTTGGATTCCCTTGTCATGCAAATCAGTTTGGCATCGGGGGTAAAAAATACCTTCGTCGTCCGTGCGGTCACTATCACCTAAATCATCAGTGTGTTTCTTTGTAAGGGGACCTATAGGACCAAGAAGGAGAAGATGGAGGAAAACAGGGTGATCAAGAACACACAGTCTTCAAAAGATGCTCTCAAAAGATAAGAAAGTATCAACAGTTAGTGTTTCTAGCCCCTTTTTTGGAAAAATCTTGGGTAAACATTACCACAAAGTCCACACAGTAGAAATGTACTGTATAAGAGTTCATTAAGAAAGTAAAGGAGCAAGAAAAGAGGGACTTTTTAAAAAAAGAGGCAAAAAATTGAGGGTCAAACTCTTCAAGACATAAACTTCTTTGAAACAGTGCATACAGAAGCATCAATTAAACATATCAGAAATATCATAACATTTGGAAATGATCACTGTGGCAGAGAACAAAGCTGTAAAAGAAACAGCATTACAACAAAAACACTCAACAGAAGCATGTGACAAACTCCCCCTGTTGTATTATCAGAGTGTGTAAAGTGTGCACACACAGAAACACGCACACTCAATGTCATGCATACATTTCACTGCAGGGGTATTGCTGTGAAGCATAGCCGACATCAGAACATTTAAATGACAGATCGAGGTAAAGATGAGGACAGCAGATACGAAAAAATAGAAAATAGTTTTGTAGATTTTTTTTGTAAACAAGTTTTCTCATTTTGCCAATGAAAACCACAGAATCAAACATGTTGAGAATAAACAAGTAGAACCTTGCACACAATTTCAATTTGGGTAATTAATAAAAGTCTATATCAGATACAAATAAATATACTTTCAATAGTTTTTGGGTAGTTTGGGAAATTAGCTTTTCTCTATAGAGAGGACATGATGAAGTTACTACACCCAAGATATAACATGCTAATTATAGATTTTTGGAGATTGTGTTACCTTTGGATGGGACTTAGCTAGTTGCTTCGCCCTGTTGGCTAGGCTAAGCTAAGTGAATGGGCTCCTGGATGTAAAAATATAGTTTACATATTGACATATGAGTGGCATCCATCTTCTTCTCTAACTCGCCGCAAGAAAGCAAATAAGCGTAATTGCCAGGTTGTCCAAAAATGTTCTCATGCATGGTGGTTTTCTTGTAAAGAGAAAAACCTTTGATAGTTGCACAGGGGAAGTGGTCAACTGCTTCTTTATTAAAACCAACACATTGTAATCTTAATGTAACTTTTGTGTACATGCAGACACATTAACACAGACTATCTTGAGCAAAAATAACAAAGACATACATATATACACTCACACACAAACAACACACTAACGGAGAGGTACACAGATACTCAGAAACAGATATGAATACATGCAGTCCTGAAATAAAAGCTGCATGACCCCCAGAAACATAGTGGGAAAACACACACACACACACGCACGCACGCACGCACACACACACACACACACGCACATGCACACGCACACACGCACACGCACACGCACACGCACACACACACACATAGCGAAAGCATACTCAACATCATGTGACAAGGGTCTTCGAATACCCAATCTACTATTTCAGAATGACCACTCCAATACTTTAAAACTATCTTCATTAGCCACAAAACCAAATACCCAACTATTCTGTGTACATCCAATTCCATCCATTTGACTTCATAAAACTCACAGCAGTCAATTTCAACATCAAAGGTTAAAAGGCGCATTCTGTGAATAAGGTTGATGTTGAAAAGAATTGTCTTTGTAAAAGGAAATACTTCAATAAAGATTTGTTGGTTTGAACATCTCTTTTTTGTGAATACAGATTGGGAGATGAATCACTGGAAAGGTTCAAGATACTTTGAGTCAGAAACTCATATTGATGAGTCATAATTCCTCCATCATTCAACATAGTGGTGGTTTATTTTAAGGGCAACCATTTCTCTCCGGTGACTTTAAAGCAGCCGGCTCCCTCCATATCATTCTTTCCTAGAGCAGTCTCCCAGCTCTCTTTTGTGAATCTGACAAGCAATTTGATAAGCGAGAGCTGACTTGTGCTTTCTATGTGCTGAATAAGCAGCGAGACACGAGCATCGCTTCTTTCAAAATGTGAAACGTCTAAGAAACACAGTCTACTGTCTGGGGAAGTGTTACCTGTTTAGAAGGAGTATTGCTTAGGGAGATAGCTTTCAAAGCAACACGCAAAGGCTCTGTGCAAACACTTAAACATACAACAAGCATTACCAAATATGATACTTTTGTTATCTTATTGCCATTATCCTTTTAATGTCCTTATCTTGGCCTTTCAAAGCATGCGTACATGTTGGGCAAATTGGCAAATACAGATGACCCTAAACGCAGTTTAGCGGAAATATGTTTAAAATGATGCAGTGCTACATTAAAGTGGCAATAAACAACTTTATTGCCTCAACTTATCATTATGAAGTAAATGTGAATTGCACGTAATTAACTGTAGATTAATGACACCATTGGGGTTTAGATTGGTTTTCAATAAGCCTCACATTCACTATACAATGTTATCTGCTACGCAATGAGAACATTTTCTTGTCCTAATGTGTCAGGGTGGCATTTATTTGAGAGATTAAAGGAATACAAAAAAGGTGGTTCACGATCAGCTCTTGCAACAACTTCAATGCTCCTTGAGGTAGAAGTCCCTGGATATCAGAAACAACATTAAACTGACAAAGAGAGGTCTTGTGGCAAGGTCTAAATGCTGGATGACTTCTGTTTTGTTATTTCACCTTGTGGCATGCCTTGTTTCTGAGAATAGGGTCTTATTCTACTGCCTTTATTGAAAACATCTCTAAAGTAACTTGTTAATGGAGTGATAGGATATTGTTCTCAACCATCTTATTTTGACTTATACATAGTGTCTATACAAGAACGCTTCCTAACACTACCTAACCATGAACCTGCCTCCTATATGAGAGTGGACTGGAGGAGTTTCAGTCTCATATCCAAAATTCCTTTAACAAAGTGTCTTATTGTTCAACCTACAACTTTCGGAATGTTTGTGTTTGTTGGTACGTTCTTAGCATATCTCAAGAACTGCCCTTCCATTCTTCTTAAAACTTCTCGGGTGACTTCAGGGCTCTGAATAATAAATTAAGCATGTTGTCTGTGCGGCTCATTGGCTACAGGTCACTTTTTACAGAATTTCCCTAACCAATACCATGAGCAGACCTACTGAATGCAGAATCAAATCAAGTGTATATCACCAGTTTCTGACTTATGACAAATGGCACAAAAAGTATTACACCAAGCAAAATATCTCGCTTAATTAAGGCTTTATTTAAATGGCTATGGCATACAAGTGACCTTTATGCCTTTATTGGGAAATAACCAGCTCTTGTGTATTTCACCTTTGTTTCTGACCGTGAGTTACTGCAACTTGTTTTTCAAGAATCATTGTATTGATCTGGGTTAAATTGTAATATATTGCTCGCAAATTGATTGTATGAACAGTTCTTGAGAAGGAACCTTAGCCCTAAAGCTAACCCTAACCCTAGCCCGATACATAACATGGTATTTGGCTGACACTTTTATCCAAAGCAACTTACATGCACTTCAATACCGTAGACATGCCTAAGGTAACAGTTAAGGGGTTAAGTATCTTGCTCAAAGACACTTCGACATGTTCAGCATTTAGCCAGTTCTGAACAGACACCACACTAGTTGAAAACTATTTGTAAACCAGTGCCTTAGTGAAACAGGACAGAAAATGAGGAATGAGTTAAGGGCAACTAGAGACTGAAAAGAATCAAATAAAATGTCTTTGATTGATGTGTCGGCTCTCCGGACGGCACATGTGCTGCTATTACAGTGGCATGTTGTTTGACTGAGGGTTAGTGGGGATCAGAGCAGACACGACAGCTGCATGGCAGCTCCTATCTCTCACAAACGCTCACACCTACACACACACAGACAGATAGTCGCCCACTCATGAATGCACTCACAGAGAGAGACATCACACAGCAATCAGGTGTCAATTCAAAACTGCCCAGTGACAAGGAGGCCCGACTCTGACCTGCACTCCCCTACCTGTCAATGGAGCATATGTTTGTAGGTGTGTGTGTGTGTGTGTGTGTGTGTGTGTGTGTGTGTGTGTGTGTGTGTGTGTGTGTGTGTGTGTGTGTGTGTGTGTGTGTGTGTGTGTGTGTGTTTCATGTGTGTGAAACTGGCGAGGTCTCAGCTGGCAGCAGCTCTGTTCACTGATTAGGAACTTGAAACTTTTCAGCTCTCTCCGTCTGTCTTACCGCACTCTATATTTATTTGTACCTTCTCCGCTTTACATTCTAAGATACTCTGTTCTTTCCCAGAGTTATGCTCATGTTATGTCCCTTTCTTTCTCTTATTTATATTTCTAATGGCAACACCTTAATCGCCTTCTTTATCATTGTTGGAGAACTATATTTTTTCATGATATAAATGGAAATGGAAGTAATGACAGGTAGTAACCCCTCTCTCAGTCTTAAGATGGTACCAGGGATCTGACATGAAAGTCTTCATTCTCTGGCCTTCCAATGACTCTTTGTTGACCCTAACCCTAACACACATTTACATAACAAGGGACTGAGGTTGTCTCAAATGTACGAATCAGGAAACGCCATAATTGCTAGACCCAGTCAAATTCTATTATTCCCATTAGTATTCTGGCTTTGTTTTATAGGGTTACACTAACAATGAATGGGTGTGCAACATAATTACAATGGCTACGAAGGGCCAACATATATGGCGAGACGCCTAACTCGAGTGGAAAAACTGGATTTGTAATATGGCACTTCCGGCTTTTCCACCCCTCTATTGGCTACTACCTTGAGTCATTCCGGTCACACAATGTTTCAGATATTAATTCAGGCAAGTCAAGAAAAGGCTGATAGGTGGACTGTGTTACGAATATATTTTCCTACCCTACAGTCAAAGATAAAACCATCACTCAATGACTAAAAGTAACATTTTAAAAACAAACAAAAACAATAAAACAGTGGCCTCTATTACTTTGTACATTGTAAGTGAGATTAGATTTGAAGCGAAATGTGCTTAATTGCTTTATGACATTGAACAGTAAGTGAGATCTGTTCTT